AGGCCGTGGTACCCCCCCCAGCCTCACCCCGGGCACCTGTGCCACCTGCTCAGGACATGTCGGCCGGAAGCGCAGGTGCCAGTATCCGCTCACCGCCTGGCATCACCTGTCTCCTCTGCCCCCTCTAGTCAGGGCTGCCCAACTTCCACCAAGCGAGGGTGGAGGTGCCCACCCTCCATCTGATCAGAGGGTGGGGGGCAACGGAGGGGCTCCATGGCATGGGAAAAAGACCAAACAATGAAATGGGCCATTGATATTTAAGTCAGATATTGGGATGGACTTTCCAACCGTGAAAACCACTAGACCTCAGCTAGGAGGCTACAGAATCCTCTTTCCCTGGAGAAAACAGGGCCGTGGCCCACCCTGGGGTGCTCTCCCAAGCACAGCCCACCTCAGTGTATACCAGGCCCTGCACACCCTTTGAGCCAACGATCTCCCCGGGGGAGCAAAGCCTACAACTTCACCAACACCAGGAAGAGAGTAATGAGCTCAAAACCACTCCTGGGCCAACCGCACAGCTGGTCACAGCGGCCAAGGATGCCCCGAGGAGGCAGGCGCCAAGAAAGCCAGATCAGAGTCACCAAGCAGGGAAAGGCCAGGAAGGAGGTGAGTCCCGGGGAGGAGGACGGCCAGGCGAGTTGATCTCTTTGCCTGTTTATATTTCACTAGTCTTCCTCCAAGGAGCACATGAGGTGTTTTTGTCATCAAATATGGAGGAGCTAATCCTTCTTTCTTTCCTTCCTTCCCTCTCTTTTCTTCTTTTTTGTTTTTTGTTTTTGAATTGGGGTCTCACTCTGTTGTCTAGGCTGGAGTGCAGTGGTGCAATCATAGCTCACTGCAGTCTCAACCTCATGGGCTCAGGCAATCCTCCCTCCTCAGCCTCCCTAGCAGCTGGGACTCCAGGCGGGTACCACCACACCTGGCTCATTTTTTATAGCCACAAGGTCTCGCTGTGTTGCCCAGGCTGTTCTCAAACTCCTGGGCTCAAGCGATCCTCCTGCCTCGGCCTCCCAAAGTGCTGGGATGACTGGTATGAACCACCGTGCCCAGCCTGGAGTGGCTAATCTTCTAATGCTCATAGTTTCTTTTCTTCTCTACGAGACAGCCTGGGCTTGTAACTTTAAAATTAAGGCCAATTTCACTTCGAGACGCTCTGTGGCGTTTCCAACCGTCCCCAGCTCAAGGGTTCCCTTCTGTCAGGGACCCTGAGACAGGAAGGGATCAGGACCACCAGATGAACAGCGGCCTCCGAAAGGGCCTGGAGTCCCGGCCAAGCCCCACGGTGTCCAGAGCGAGATTCAGGCTGGGCAGGGCAGTGTGACCCAAGCTGGGGTCCTCAAGCTTCCTCCGCAGAGGCCCGCGGGACCCTCCTGCATGAAGGGGGGCAGCAGGCAGGTGGCAGCCAGAGCAGTCAGACTCGGGGTGACAGACAGTCCCCAGCAGCTGGCAGGCTGGTGCACCGCCCACGAATGGGGTCTTGCTGGGAGGACGTCCGTAGGGAAGAATCTGGGAAGAGGACGGGAGGGGCACACGGGGGGGCGGAGGGCCAGACCTGTGACGACGAGCTGGGTCTTGGCGCGTCCTGTCCCAGCCCTGCTGACCGCTGTGCACTCATAGGTGCCTTCCTCGGCCTTCGAGGCCCGGGGGATTTCCCAGCTGCTGTTCCCTGACTCCCTGCGAATAGAGAATAGCAGGAGACAGAGTTACGCTGACTCCAGTGAGGCCCCCAGCCTCGTCTGGCCCCCAGGGCCCTCTACCTCCTGAATCCTGCCTGGAGGAGGGGACCTGGAATCCCCTGTGAGACCCAATAGGAAGAGGTGTATGGCCGGGACGTGTAAATCCCACAATCTGCTGTGTGATGTGAAGCAAGGCCCTTCCCCTCTCTGTGTCCTGGGCTCCCATCTGGAGGGCCAGGGCCTCAAGAGAGTCCTTTCTGCCCGGCCCCTCGTGGAGCTGGGCCCTGCATGGGCTGGGTTTTCCAGGAGCCTCGTGGCAGTCTTGGGGACCGGCTCCGCCTGCATCCCTGGCTGCACTGAGGTCCTGGGCTGCCCGGGAGGACAGTAGCCGAGAACAAGGTCTCTCTGCTGCCACCCACTCCCCCGAGACTAATCTTTCTTTTTTTTTTTTTTCTGAGTTGGGGTCTCACTCTGTTGCCCAGACTGGAGTACAGTGGCACCGTCACGGCTCAATGCAGCCTGGACCTCCTTGGGCTCAGGTGATCTGCCCGCCTCAGCCTTTCAGGTAGCTAGGAGGGATCGGCACCCAGAAGCCCGGCGGCAGGGGACAGCCAGTGGCCGCGGTCACTCACTGTAGGTGTCGCTCCTCGCCCAGCCTGGCTCCGTCTCTCCGCAGCTGCAGCCGGAAGGGGAGGGGGCTGTGCACAGAACAGGAGACCAGCAGGGGCTGATGCCGGTAGCCATGGATGCGGGGGGGCATGCTGACCAGGGGGGCTCCTGCGGGTGAGGACCGGATTCAGAATTCCTCCTGCCGCCCCCGCAGCCCACCCTCGCCACACCTGGCAACGCAGAGACCCACGGGCATGAACCAGGAGCAAAAGGACGGAGATTCAGTCCCTGGCCCCAGCACTGGGCGGTCGCCTCTCTAAGCCTTTGTTTCCACCTCTGCAGAATGGGTGTGATCACAGTGTTGTCATTATTGCCTTGTCTGGAGGAGCTGCTGAGAGGCAATGCCTGGACAGTATGAGGCATAACACACGTGGTTTATGACAGGACCTTCCATCAAGACTGGCAGGCACGGGCTGCAGCGCCCTCGTGAGAGACTGGTTCTGAAACCCGATGGAATGCTCCCCAGACAAGGATCGGACTCCCCAGGGTGTGGGAGGGTGTGGGAGGGTTTGTGCAGTCGCCTCTCTGCCTGGAGGGTCAGTCTTGCACTCATGTGTGGGAAAGAAGCCTTTGCATTTAAAAATAGGCACAATGGGAGCATGGCTGTGAATGTGAAGTTCACACGCATTTTTCAGATAAGACAACAGACTTCAGTGAGCTCTCCCAGCTTGCGATGAGCCCCATGGGCCCCTGTCCGACACCAACTGCTGCCCTGGCCCGCCCCGGCCTGCCCCTGGTCTTGGGGGACACATTCTCTTTCCTTGGCTACTGGAGTCGCTTCAGTGAAGAAGTCTGAGAAACGCCCCCGCGGGTCTGCCGCGGCCGTTGGAGCCCGTGATCTCGGCGTGCACTCAAGTCTCTCCTCTGTCCCCACCAGAGTGGAGAAGAGCCCGGCTGGGAGGCGCGGGCGTGAGACGACACGCCAGACCTCCTCAGAGCATGGCGGGGGGGGGGGCCGTGCGGGGGACATCATGCTCCGGGCGGCCTGCCACGTCGAGTCCCGGGCGAGAGGGGTGTCGGGCCATCCAGCCACGTCCTCAGCTGTGCAGGGCGGCCACCACTCACCACAGGCCCTGGGCGCCTCTGTCAGGAGCCAATGGGGCCCAGGGACCCCAGGCCCAGCCTCACCTCTCCAGACCCAGAGCCACCTGCTCCACCACAAACCCAGCCTCCCAGACCTGGAAGGCGGGGGAGGAAGAAAGACCCGGACCTCATGCCTCCTCCCCAACCCCCACCGCCGGAATCTAGAGCTGAGGTGGTGACCACAAGCCAGAGCAAAGCTCCAGACTCCTGGGTCCACCTGAAAGAACAGGAAAGCAGCGGCTGTTATTTCCCCGCTGGAATTCCTTCCTGAAAGTTCCTCCTCAAAGCCATAAGGCTAAGGGAAGAGAGGCCCGGGGACCACAGCCGGGGAGTGGAGGCCAGGAGGCTGGAGAGAAGAGGTCCCTGGCTCCTCCACCCCGCCCCACCCAGCCCCTGCCCCACCCAGGCTCTCAAGGTCAAGTCCTCCGCCCCACCGTGGGTGCCATGGCCAGCCTTGGGAGCTGCCCACCCCCTGCACCCTATTTGAAGCGGGTGGGTAGAGGAGCCTTTTACTGAGATTCCCCCACAAAGAAGTGCTAGGACGCCCATGACATCTACTCTCTGAGCACCAGGGATGGGGGGACAGTGACCGGGAGGAAGGCAGTGGGGCTCAGTGGGGAGGCAGGGTGGCCAGTGAGCCTAGATGCTCTCTGCCAGGACCAGAGGCTCATCTAGGAGGCCAGAGACCCCACCCTGCCCTCTGGGAGCTTCCAGTCCAGATGGCGAGACCTCGGGGACACACGGGAAGCCAGCACAAAGCCACACATCTGGGAACCAACACAGCATGACCCAAGACGGGATGACAAAATGACTTGTTCCTACAGTGCTATCATTAGTTAACAGCAGCTGCCACATGTCTGGGCCCTGGTTCACACTTCCCATGTCCTGAGAGTGACCTCTGAGCACCCAGGGCTGCCTGGTTGTGTGCACTAGCCTATGGAACCCTCAGAGCAGCCCTGCGAGGTGGGTGAGATCAGTTTACCCATCTACAAAATGGGGACTTATGTCAGAACTGTTGTAACCATCAGGGAGCTAGTACACGGCAAGAGCCTGGCCCACTGGCCCATGGAGAACATGCAGAGTGGAGGCTAGGATGATTACGATTCTGGGGTAGCAAATGTTCGTGTCTGCCCTGCCCACGACTGTGTCTACAGTGCCCAGACCGTGACCGATACATGGTAGATACTCAAAATGAATGGTGGACAGACAGATGGATGGATGGATGAGTGGATGGACGGACGGACGGGTAGATGGATGGATGGATGAGTGGGGATGGATGGATGGATGTATGGACAGATGGACGGATGGATGGATGGATAGGTGGAGGTGGATAGGTGGATGAATGGATGACTTTATTCCAAATACTTGAGTTGAAGGCCACATCTGAAGCATCTCAGTATTTAGCAGAATGCCTTACAGGGAGTAACCGTCCCCAGAAGCTTAGTGAGCAATCACTTTCTATCTAATCTAATCAGAGAAGGCTCCGGAGGGGCTCTGAGTGAGCCAAGAAGCTAAGGGACAAAAGAGACACCCACTCACCTGGAGCCACACCACTATAGGACACTCCTGAGACACGGAGGAGGGGGTTTCCCTCATGGTCCTTGCCCTTCACCTTGAGGTAGAAGCGCTCCTGGGGGGCGTGGAAGGCCGGCCCGCTCCACAGCTGATGGGTGGAGCCGTTGGAGAGCGGACTGGTGGGCAGGGTCAGGAGGGGCCGCCCTGAGCTGTGGGCAAGCTCCACCGAGTCGAGGCGGCCAGGGGCCTGCAGGCCCGTGGAGTTGATCACCAGGGCGATGGGGACCCCTGCAGAGGGAGGCGAGGGCCGAGGCGCTGGTATCAGCATTGGCTGAGATCGTCCTCAAGCAGGCCCTGGGACCACACCCCGAGCCCTGCCCACTCGGCCCTCCCCCCCAGCTCCCTCCTTCTCCACCTATCCCTGCGCGGGGCTGCTGGGGGTGGGCTGGGGAGGGAGGGGCCTTGCTACTGTCCGTGGTGCTGAAAAGCCACGGTCATCCCACCAGGGCTCCGGCACTGCGTTCCTTCATCTCTGCAGAGTTGGCCTCTATGGGTAGAACCGAGGGGGGCGTGTGTCCTCCCCCGCCTCACCCCAACCCGTGAACTCTGGTGTCAGCCATCATCAGACAGGTTTCAGGGACGGCCTCAGCTAAGGCAGATGCCACACTCAGGGGACTCCGACCCCCGCCCAGTCTCTTCTGATGCTCGGTTCATCTTTGCTTTTTCTTTTCTATCTTGATGGAAATGTGGCACTCTTCACACTAGCCCAGGGGAGGCAGAACTGGACCTGGGTTTCACCATTTTATTGTTTGTTTATTTTTTTAGAGACGGTCTCACTCTGTCACCCAGACTGGAATGCAGTGGCTCAATCATAGCTCACTGCAGCCTCAAACTTCTGGGCTCAAGTGATCCTCCCACCTCAGCCTCCTGAGTAGCTGGAACTACAGGCTCATGCCATCACACCTAGCTAAGTTTTTTTTGTTTTGTTTTGTTTTTGCTTTTTTTGTAGAGATGAAGGTCTTGCCATGTTATCCAGGCTGGCTCCAAACGCCTAGCTTCAAGCAATCCTCCCACCTTGGCCTCCCAAAGTGCTAGGATTACAGGTGTGAGCCACCACAGCCAGCTGAAGGAATCATATTTTCCAAAGTATAAATTGGGACCTCTGATCTGGCCACAGATGGTACTTTCTGGCAAGAAGCTCAGGCAGCCATACGGGGCACACTGGCATCCTCACGCCCCAGTGAGTGGCTTCCAGTCCACTGACCCTGTGCTCCCCACTTCAATGTGCCCTCAGGCTACTCCAACCCACATCCGTCTTGAGGTGCCCAGATGTCCCCCAGGATTCATTCCGTTGGAGTAAGGCATGGTTCTCCTTTTCAGTAGGTCACCAACTCACTAGTGCCTGTTCTTTCATTGCACTAGCCTGACAGTCATGGGAAACAGAAGGAGGGTGACTTGGGACAAAGAAGGTGTTTTTGTTTGTTGGTTGTTGTTGTTTTTGCTTTGTTTTGTTTTGTTGTAGTTGAGGCCTTACTCTGTTACCCAAGCTGGAGTGTATTGGCACGATCCGAGGCTCAGGTGAGCCTCCCGCCTCAGCCTCCTGAGTAGCTGGGACTACAGGCATGCACCACCACGCCTGGCTAATTTTTCTTTTCTTTTTTTTTTTTGTGCTACCATGCCCGGCTGATTTTTTGATTTATTGTAGAGATGAGGTCTCGCTGCCCAGGCGGGTCTCGAACCCGTGGGCTCAGGCAATCCACTCACCTCAGCCTCCCAAGGCACGGGATTACAGGCTGAGCCACTGAGCCCAGCTTATTTTCCTTTTCCTTTTTCTTTTCTCTTTTTAGAGATGAGGTCTCGCTATGTTGCCCAAACTGGTCTAGTCCTGAACTCCTGGACTCAAGCAATCCTCTTGTCTTGGCCTCCCAAAGTGTTGGGATTACAGGCATGAGTCACCATGCCAGCCCTAGGTGCCCCTTTTGAAATACAAGTGAGGCTTTCTGCTTTTTCTCTCCTTAAAGAATCCTGGTGAATGACCATAGCGAGCAGGTATTTTTTTTAATTTAATTTAATTTGTTTATTTATTTTTCATTTTTTGCCCTAAGACTTATTCTAAGAGTGAAGGCAGGTATATTTGTTGTTGTTGCTGTTAGTTTGTTTTTTAAGAGACAAAGCCTCGCTCTGTTGCTCAGACTGGAGTGCAGTAGCACAATCACGGTTCACTGCTGCCTCGACCTTGTGGGCTCAGTTGATCCTTCTGCCTCAGACTCCCAAGTAGCTGGGACTACAGATGTGTGCCACCACGCCCAGCTAACTTTTTTTTATTTTTTGTAGACAAGATCTCACTGTGTTGCCTGGGCTAATCTCAAACTCTTGGGCTCAAGTGATCCTCCTGCCTCTGCCTCCCAAAGTGCTGGGATTACAGGCGTGAGTCACCGCACCCAGCCTTGGCCTGATAAGTTTTGATAAAAAGAAAGAAGGTGTGACCTCAGTAATTAAGGGGACACCACAAGGGTCCTAGGGGCCTTTGGGGGCAGGGGGGATGTTCTGAAGGTAAATGTCACAATGGCATCTGGATTGGGGCTGGTGGCAAGGGTGCCGGGAGCGCGACCTCCCTGAGTCTCTGCAGGACCCCTTCCATGGCCACACAGCCATGCCCACCCCCCCACACCTCCCCCGCTTCCCAAAGCCCGGTCCTGACTCCTCAAAGCAGCCCAGTTCCATCCTTGGGGTCAGGAGCACCGTACCTTGCAAGGGCCACTCAAGGGTGTGGTTGAGGTCCAGCAAGGGCTGTGTGGAGAAGCCGGCTTGGAAGTCGATGTTGCTGATGCCCGTGATCCTCACCGAGTGGCGGCCGCTGCTATAGACCTAGGCCCCACATCACTGGGTGTCAGACCCCAGCATCCCAGCTCCTGGGCAGGAGGCACTGACCAACCCAGCCTGCGCCAGCAGCTAGCATTCTCTTGCCTTTGCAGACAGACACGGAGGCAACCTACCTGCTCCGGGGGGCCCCGCACAAATGAAGCATGGCTCTCCAAAGAAAGGAGCAGGCACCGCAGCTTACAACCTCGGCCTGAGCGGGCCCCTTGAGGCTGCTCTGCCTCTCTGCCCTCCCCAGCTCCTGCAGGGCCCGTCGGTCCCCTGCACGTCTAACTCTCAGCCTTGCCTTCCTCAGCGGCACGACAGCTCTTGGCTCAAAGTGTCTTAGAGCTGGTGGCCTGGGCACCGTGGCTCATACCTATACTTAAGGAGGTCAAGGGAGGAGGATCGTTTGAGCCCAGGAGTTCGAGACCAGCCTGGGCAACAGAGCAAGCCCTCATCTCTAAAAAAAATTTAAAAATTAGCCTGGCATGATGACGCCCACCTGTAGTCCCAGCTACTCTGGAGGCTGAGGTGCAAGGATCGCCTGAGGCCAAGGCTGCCGTGATTGTGCCACTACACTCCAGCCTGGGCAGCACAGTGAGACTCTGACTCAAAAAAAAAAATTAAAGATGCTCCGAGTTGGCAAGGCGGTGGATGGGTGCTGCCACTTCCCCTGTAGCACCCAGCTCAGTGACTGGCGCCCAAAGGGTGTTCACTAAAGGTCTGTCAGTCAGCAGGACCAGGACCTCAGCGGCCCATCCCAGAGCTCTGTCAGGGGCCGAGCCCGCCCACACAGTCCCTGGCTCTCCCAGCACCTTGTGGATCACAGCAGGCCTCACCCGCCCTGCCAACCCTGCCCTGCTGAGCTGACCTCCAAAGTCACCCTTCTTTCTTTCTCTTTTCTTTCTTCCTTTTCTCTCTCTCTCTCTCTCTCTCTCTCTCTCTCTCTCTCTCTCTCTCTCTCTCTCTCTCTCTCTCTCTCTCTCTCTCTCTCTCTCTCTCTCAGACAATCCTCCTTCCCGCCTCAACCTCCTGAGGAGCTGAGACCACAGACATGCACCATGATGGCTGAATGATTTTTCATACCGACGAGGTCTCACTATGTTGCTCGGGCTGGTCTGGAACTTCTGGGCTCAAACGATCCTCCCACCTCAGCTTCCCAAAGTGCTGGGATTACAGGTGTGAGGCACCGCGCCCAGCCTTTACCCCTCACTTCTATCGACATGCTCACATCACCGCCCACGCTCTAGCCCTCAGGCTCCCGGGGTCACAGGCTCCCCAGGGCACGCGGGAAGGAGAGGGCTCCAGCCCGGTGAAGCTCGTTTCCCCCACCCCTGCAGTCCAGGGCCCCTACCTTGATGGACCACAGCCCAGGATGCTCAGGCTTGAAGGCCACGATCTTGGCCGAATCAGGGATGCTGAGGAGCACGTTGAGGCCCTCGTCCTTCTGCAGGATCCGCCCTGTGGAAGCCCCAAGGACCACTCAGTCCCCAACCCTCTCCTGGGGGCGCAGGGGCCCCGCCTGGCTCAAGAGCCTGCAGCGCACCGAGAGAAGACCAGCCCCCGGGTGGCACGTACCCAGCGGGTCTCGGACTTCGATCTCGGGCCCTGGCCCGCTCAGCGAGATGGTGACCTCCTTCAGGCTGGGGTCAAAGGGCAGTCTCCACGTGTGCTCGCCCTCCTCCTCATGGTCCGTGGACAGCAGGTGCACCTTGGAGGCCTGGATGGCTGACTCCACCCACTTCAGCACCTGGGGGAAGTGCAATGTCTTGCTTGCGTCCAGCCCACCTGAGGCAGGTCCCTGGTCCCTGCCAGCTGGTGTGAGGAATCTGGTCCCCTCCCTGTGGGTTTTAGGCAGCATATGAGCTACAGGTCATCCAAGGCCACCCCACTCCCCACTGTCCCACACCAAGCCCCATTCACATGCTGTCACCCTCCTGTCTTCTACGTGCTCCAAGCTGTGTCACCTGAATCAGGGCATCCAGGGGACTCAGCTCAGGGGGGAGAAGCAACAGTATATCCCTCTGCTGGGAACAGTCTTCCCCACCTCTTCCATCTCCAGCTGGCTAGCTTCTCCAGCACCTGCTGCTTCCTCCAGGAAACCCTCTTGGTGCCTCTTATACACGGGTGGACCCTGGAGACCTAGCATCTCCCCCATGTCCAAGTCACCCCTGGTGGCCCCCGGGGACCTCCAAGGAGCTCCCACCAGGGTTCCAGTGCTCTCAAAGCGGGTCCAAGAGGAACTGCAGCAAAAATACAGGTCTCCTCCTGACCCGTGGACGCGAGGCATTTGTGGATCGAGTTTTGCAATCTTGAGAAATCTTAGGTCCTTGGTTTCTATGACTGCAGATTCCTTCTAAATTATACACGTTCTGGACAAGTTCCACTGGGAGTCAGATAAAAGGTAAGGCCTTCTGCCTAGAATACCATGCTACCCCGCCCCCCCCCTTTTTGGAGTCGGAGTCTCACTCTGTCACCCAGGCTGGAGTGCAGTGGCACAATCACAGCTCACCACGGCCTCAACCTTGTGGACCCAGGCAATCCTCTCATCTCAGCCTCCTGAGTAGCCAGGACAACGGGCTCATGCCACCATGCTCGGCTACTTTGTTTTTTTTTTTTAATCTTTTTTGTAAAGAAAAGGTCTTGCTGTGCTACCCAGGCAGGATTCAAATTCCTGGGTTCAAGCGATTTTTCTGCCTCGGCCTCCTAAAGTGCTGGTACTGCAGGTGTGAGCCACTGCGCCTGGCCCACTGGGGTTCCGTGGAGAAAGACTAATTCCAGGTTCAGGGCAGGCAATTTACAAGGTAAGTCTTGGATGGCTGGTTATTCCATAAAGCAAAATCCTCGTAGACGAATGGGATGTGTCAAAAGGACGCAGGAACCAGCTAGAAAGAGCTCCTACCAGCTCAATTTGGGACAACTTGGGCGCCCAAAAGAATGACAACCAATCAGTTGAAACACACTGAAGTATATCATCTCTGTGGACATTGTGGTGCTCAAAAAAGAGAAAGCAGAATTCAAAACAATAAAACCTCATCTGCTACCACTGATGGTGACAGGCGACTTCTCAATGAAAGAGAACCAAGTATGATTCTGCACCTTTTCAACAGGAATTGGACTTCAGAGAGGCCAAATTATCCTTTCTGATGGGCGAAAGTTCCCCTTCCTGGAAGAACGCCTGCTCGTAAATGTGGGAGGAATGATGTCATTAGGAAAACGGCATTTTGCAACCCCCTAATGAAATCATCGTTTCGGGCCAGCATCCTCTGTGGATGCTGAAGCCATTTGATGAAAGATTGATGGGAACGGGGTGTTCGAATAGAGCCAGAACGTTCCCCCACAGCCCCCTTGAGTCATAAAGGGAGAAACGTGGCCTTACGACCCAGAGAGCTGGCTGTCGCCTCCACAATCTACACATCAAACTTACCACCAATAAGAGTAAGACATGACTTGTCTCCTGACATGAGAGAACGTGCACTCATCAACACCGTGAGATATTCCTGCCAGACATGTTTGCCTTTAGACTAACCCAGTTTAGGTGGAATTTAGGGTATAAAAAAACAAGTTAATGACCCCATGAGGAAACAACCGGAAGATTCCAGAACATGACACCTGGTACAAATCCATGCCCCTTCGACAACTTAGTGTCGTTTTAAAAAACGGTCAGGAAACAACCAGAAGATTCCAGAACATGGCACCTGGTACAAATCCATGCCCCTTGGACAACTTAGTGTCATAAAAAAAAAAAAGGCCAGGCGCAGTGGCTCACGCCTGTCATCCCGACACTTTGGGAGGCTGAGGCAGGAGGATTCCCTGAGCCCAGGAGTTAATGACCAGCCTGGGCAACTTGGCAAGACCTCATCTCTTCAATAAAGGGAAAAGTTAGTCGGGCGTGGTGGCTTGTGCCTGTGGTTCCAGCTACTTGGGAGGCTGAGGCAAAAGGATCACCTGAGCCCAGTAGATCAAGGCTGCGGTAGTTGTGACCATGCCACTGCACTCCAGCCTGGGCAACAGAGTGAGACTCCAACTCAAAAGGAAAAAAAAGAATTGATCATTCCAGATTTAAGAGGACTGAACAGACATAACAAACAAAGGAGGTGCACAACACTTGATTAAATCCTGATTTGCCAAAAACTGCTATAGAAGACATTTGGAAGACAATCAAAAAATTTGAATATGGAGAGGGTATTAGCTGATACTAGGAAACCAATATTAATTTTATTAGATGATATTGTGGGTCATGTTGAAGATTATCTTTTTTTTTTTATCCGTGCTGAATTATTTATGGGTAAGGTACACAATTCAGCAAAAAGTATGAGAGATAGATCAAGCAAGTAGAGCAAAAATGTTTGCAGTGGCTGAATCTTGTTGGTCGGTGTGTTCTTTTTACTTTTCTATATCTTTGAAATTTTTCATAATCATTTTGCTCATCCATATCTGAGATGGAGGTCTCACTATTTTGTTCTGGCTGGGCTCAAACACTTAATCCTCCCACCCAGCCTCCTAAGTAGCTGAATGTGCAACACTGCACCCAATAATCATTTTTTAAAGTAAAAGTAATTTAAAAATAACAAGCATGTCATGACTTTAATACATACCTGAGCCAATAGAGTGGTATACTGTTGCTTGCCAACGCCAATCAACTGCAAATGGCTTCCTAGAGTGCTAGGGTTTGTCTGTTTTGAGTCAGGATTTTACTCTGTCCCCCAGGCTGGAGTGCAGTGACATAATCATGGCTCACCTCAGCCTCGACCTCCTGGACTCAGGTGATCCTTCCAGAACCTCAGCCTCCCAAGTAGCTGGGACTATAGGCATGCACCCCCATGCTTGGCAAATTTTTCTATTTTTTTTGTAGAGATGAGGTCTTGCTATGTTGCCTAGGTTAGCAATCCTGGGCTCAAGCAATCCTCCTGCCTCGGCCTCCCAAAGTGCTAGGATTACAGACATGAGCCACCACCTGGCCTAGAATGCCATTTGAAGGAAAAATGCAAAGCCCCATCCAGTCTCAACTAGAAAAAGTTATGTGATTGATTAGCAATGTCTGCCCCGGGTACAGGTTTAGAAAATGGTGTCTTGCGTGCTACCGAGTGGCTCTCCTTGCCCTAAATCATAGTCCTTCAGCTCTGCCTACCATGTGATCTTCCATGGAAGGGAAGGGGAAAAGAAAGGAATTAGAAGAATTAGAAAATGAATATGTTTTGTTCACACTGAGCTAGAGCATATGTGCCTGGAAATTTACAGCTAAATTTCAGCAATCACGGGATAAGAATTCTGTGTTCTGAAAACTCATCTGTTTTAATACTTGGAGCTAATTCCTTCTTCTGCTTTGCCTAGCTTTCTAAGCAATGCGTCTCTTGAAAAAGTCCCACCTGTCTTGGCTGAGGAATGGGGACAAGGTTCTTCGACCGCGCAGGGGTGGACTGGAGGGAACGCCAGTCAAGGCATCCCAGCTGGAGGGGAGGACACGAGCTGGCAGGGTACGAATGGCAACTCCCCCAACGGAAAGCAGCAGCTCTGTGACCACTGTCTGCTTCCCCCCAGGGCCGGGCCTTGTCACGGGTCAGGAGGGAATCGTCACTAAGCAAGCTCCCGGGCAACGGTGGTGGCACCAGTCGACAATTACCCAGACAAGTCACACCCGCTACTGTGTTGCAACTGCCATCACAGGCTCCTTCTAGCATGTTCTGACAGAGGGATGATGCCTCGCCGTTCAGGCTACTGAACCACGGAGAGGGCTGGGACATGGGACGGAAATCCAGGGGGCCACAGGGCAGCCTGTCCTGTAGCATATCCCCCCTCGGGTGTTGGAGGTCAAGCCTCTCGCCCACAGCCAGGCCAGACCCTCGGTAGCGCCAGGCCCCGGGGCGAGGCCTTATAGACCCCATGACACCCCCAGGGCTCCGGAGTGGAATCTGGAGAGCCCTCAGAACAGAGGGCCTTCACTTAGCAAGCTCGGTGTTTATCTGGCGCAGGCAATGGCTTCCAGATGTTAGCGGGGCTGTGGGGGAGGCAGGGAGTCCGTGGTGTGTCGGGACTCATCTCTTTGTCACTGATGGAGAAGGAATGAAAAATCTGGCGCTGCCTCCCAGGCCAGATGGCTGCTGCTCGGCCCTTCACGGCAGATAAATCACCCCGAGGCCCCTCCCGGACACTTGACGGCCAAGGAGGCCGAGGAAGGGAGGGGGCGGTCAGGAGGCCGAATGGGCCTTCAACTGCAGAACAGAACACTGAGGTCAGGGTTCTGGGTTGGAGGCCCCGTGTCGGGGGTGATGGAGAAAGAGCCCTCATCCGGGGGTTTGGCCCTCACCAGTTGGGCACCCCAGGCGCCCGCCCCAGGCTCTGCCTTTCTGGGAGCTTCTTCCAGAGAGAATTCCTTCTCTTCAGAGGCTCCAGTGGAACTGGGGGTGTGTTCTGGGCTCCACCCCGAAGCCCGCAGGTGCAGTTCAGCCATAGCGGCTGCTGCCTTTCATCCTCACTACCATCTCAGGGGTAGGGGCTCTCATTAACCCACCTGCACACAAGGGGGAGGTGCGGCCCTGAGAGGCTGAAACTGCACTCCAGGTCACACAGCAGGTGGGCGGCAGGGCTGCGGGGTCTGGAGCTAGCCATCTTGCCCCGGCGTCTAAGCCCTAACCACTCCACAGCCCCACCTCCCCCTGGGAAGGGTCCAGGATGAGGTCATTTCTGGGGTCCTCCTGATCTGTTAATCGGAACCACCTGGTCAGAACCGCCCCTGTCTTCCAAGGCGGGTCACCTCTCCCTAGTTGATGTGCAGGCTCTGGGCATCTGCCATTCGTACCTGCTGGTGCTGGACACGGGAAGGGTCCCAGCTCCCTGAACCAGTTGTGTGGCTGTGTGAATTGTGGGGTGGGAGGCACAGCAGAGAGCAAGAGGCCCGGTGCTCCCTTAGAAGAAAGGTGGAGGGGCCTTCCTGGGAATAGGAGAGCTACAGGACTGTGGGATTGTGCTGGGTGTCCGACGGGGACCCTGGGGGACACTGCATTGTCACAGGAGGATCTTGGACCTATCTAAGCCTTAATAAAAAATGCAACTGGAGCCGGGCTCGGTGGCTCAGCCTGTAATCCCACGCCTTTGGGAGGCTGAGGTGAGTGGATTGCCTGAGTCCGCGGGTTCGAGACCTGCCTCTCTACAATAAATCAAAAATCAGCCGGGCATGGTAGCACGTGACTGTAATTCCGGCTACTTGGAAGGCTGAGGCGGAAGGATCGCCGGAGCCCAGCAGGTCGAGGCTGCGGTGGCCGGGAGCGGCCACTGCACTCCAGTCTGGACGACAGAGTGAGACTTCAACTCAAAAAAAAAAATGCAACTGGGCACAGCGATTCACACCTGTCATCTCAGCACATCGGGAGGCTGAGGCGGGAAGGATGGCTGGAGTCCAGGAGTTCGAGATCAGCCTGGGCAACACAGCAAGACCTCATCTCCACCAAAAATCAAAACAATGAGCCTGATGCCTGTATTCAGGAGGCTGAGGCAGGAGGTGGTGAGCCATGATCATGCCACTGCACTCCAGTCTGGGTGACAGAGTGAGACCCCCTACTCAAAAATAGATACATATATAAGTGAAAACTAAAATTCACAAATTCACATTTGGGACAGGCTCAAGGGGCCACTGTGCCTGCCTCTAACACAGTACTCTTTTTTTCATTTGGAGTCTCACTCCTTTGCCCAGGCTGGAGTGCAGTGGCACGCTCACGGCCACCATAGCCTCGACCTTCTGGGCTCCAGCGATCCTTCCGCCTCAGCCTTCCAAGGAGCCAGAACTACAGGCGTGCACTATCACGCCTGGCTATTTTTTATTTTATTGTAGAGATGAGGTCTCACCAACTTGCCCAGGCTGGTCTCGAACCCACGGCAATCCACTCACCTTGGCCTCCCAAAGTGCTGGGATTGCAGGCTGAGCCACCGAGCCAGGACTACACAGTACTTTTAAGGACTGTAAAAGTTCCAAATTTTCCTGCCAGGCGGAGGAATTACACCTTCTGTTAGTTACCAAGAGCCCCAAGGCGGGAGGGTCCTGCTACCAGTAAGACGCCTCCACAGCAGGTGGGCCCTGGGCTATGAATAATGGCCGCCACCAAGCCCAGTGCCCAGAACTGCACCTGGCACACAGTAGGTGCTCAATAAACGAGGGACAAATGTGTGAGACATCTCTTAGCCACACCAGAAGCCCTTTGAGAAGGTGGAAGGAAGCCGGGCTCAGTGGCTCAGCCTGTAATCCCGCGCCTTGGGAGGCTGAGTTGAGTGGATTGCCTGAGCCCGCGGG